TTAAATAAAAAAAATAAAAACTCAAAACACTGTATGCAGATGCTGCTATTTCAAATTTCTTCTTGTTTTTTAGAATGACATACAGTTCACAAAAGAACATTCAGTTCAATATTCTCATATGTTAGAGGATTCAATCCTCATTCCTGCCTCATCCCCTTTCTAATATGCTTACACAAACATTCCCACCTTCAGAAGACACTGCAGCATCTAGTTCAATTAGCTGGAAGAGTAAATTTATGTGCGGTGGCCCACATCATACTGCCACAGAAGAAAAGGTGAAGGGGTCTTAAAAACACTCTTTTGATTAGTTTTTGGTAATAATATGTACAGAATGAAAATAGCGTTTTATAGAACATTCAGGTGCTAGATTGGCAATAGGAGAAAATACACGCAAAGACAGCCCTGCGGCCCACAGCAGTCTTATCTTGACAGATGAGAACAAGAGGGGTATTTTAAATTCTTTATGGACTTTGAACGTTTGTTCATGTGTTTAATTCTTTAAAATTAAAGTAATGCATAGCATTCTAAAATAATACCATGCTTCTTATACTTGTTAAATTATATTTGCAACTTCTGAATGTCTATAATGGAAAATTTCAAGCACACAAAAAATTACAGAGTATTGTAAAATAAATCTCATCACCCAGCGATAACAGTAATCCATGCATGGCCTATCCTATTCCATCTGCACATCTAAACATTGAATTATTTTGAGGTAAATCCCAACACCATAGCATTTTATCCATTATTATCAATGCTTTAAAAGCTCGTTATATATTCAACAGGAAAAACAGTAAGTGAAAAGAAATGTATAACAAAGAATTAAAATAAAGCACTGTTAAAGGTAGTTGTATTTACCTTCCCCTGCCATAAGTCTAAGTCTTAACTGCAAAGGCTTCTTAGTGATGGCTTAGCTTTCTAGATGGTGATATGGAAATAGGGTAAAATTATTACCACCGAGCAGTGACCCTTCATCTCACTTCCACATCATCTCTTTTTCCTTTCTCTCAAGAGTCTAATCTACTGGGCCAGCAAGAGCCATTCCATTTTACATCCTTTAGGGCTGAGCTGAGACATGAAGGGTCCAGGGTCTCCATGGAGTTGACTTTCTTCTGTTCTCTGTTCCATTTTCGTGGTGATTGCATTCTAGGTCTCAGTCATTGTTGGTTTCATCTCACACTTACAAAACACATTCTCTTTCACCATACACAAAAATAAACTCAAAATGGATTAAAGACCTAAATGTGAGACCTGAAACCATAAAAATCTTTGAAGAGAACACGGGCTCTCTCTGACATTGGCTGTAGCAAGTTTTCTAGATAGGTCTCCAGAGGCAAGAGAAATAAAAGCAAAAATAAACTATTGGGACCACATCAGAATAAAAGGTTTCTGCACAGAGAAGGAAACAATCAAAACTAAAAGGCAACCTATGGAATGGAAGAAGATATTTGCAAATGATATCTCCGATAAAGGGTTAGTATCCAAAATATATAAAGAACTGAATCAACTCAATACCCAAAAAACAAGGAATCCAATTAAAAAATGGGCAGAAGACATGAACAGACATTTTTCCAAAGAAGATAGACAAATGGCCAACAGACATGAAAAGATGCTCAACGTCACCATCATCAGGGAAATGCAAATCAAAACTACAATGAGGTATCACTTCGCACCTGTCAGAATGGCTAACATCAAAAACACAAGAAACAACAGGTGTTGGTGAGGATGTAGAGAAAAGGAGAACCTTTGTGCCCTGTGGGAATGCAAACTGGCACAGCTACTGTGGAAAACTATATGGAGGTTCCTCAAAAAATTAAAAACAGAACTACCCTATAATCCAGGAATCGCACTACTGGGTTTTTACCCAAAAGATACAAAAACACTAATTCAAAGTGATACATGCACCCCTATGTTTATTGCAGCATTATTTACAATAGCCAAATTATGGAAGCAGCCCATATATATAGTATATAAGTATACAATGGAATGTTACTCAGCTATAAAAATAATGAAATCTTGCCATTTGCAACAACATGGATTGAGCTAGAGGGTATTACGCTAAACGAAATAAGTTAGTCAGAGAAAGACAAATACCATATGATCTCATTCATATGTGGAATTTAAGAAACAAAACAAGTGAGCAAAGGAAAAAAGAGCGAGAGAGAGAGGGAGAGAGAGAGAGAGAGAGGCAAACCAGGAAATAGACTTTTAACTATAGAGAACAAACTGATGGTTACCAGAGGGAGGTGGGTAGGGGAATGGGGGAAATAGAGAAGGGGGATTAAGAGTATACTTATCATGATGAAAATAACATAAAATAAAATAAAACAAAATAAAATGATTTAAAAAACCCACATTCTCAGTAACTAGTCCTGTCCTGTTCTCATTTGTAAATTAAAGAACTCAGGTTGTACTTGGTGTTCTCTTGCTCTCACCTCATCAAGTCTACAGCTTCTTACCTTGAAGAGCCTGCTGGTAGTAGACAAAGGAGACACTCCGGCCCAGTTTCTTCCACTCTAATCTGGAGGAAATGGTCTTCTTTGGATATTTACAGGCTAAAATAACCTCTAGGAACAACAACAAAAATACTTGTTTTCTAATTGTCCCTATGAATTTATATTTTACTTAAGTAAATTTTTAAACAGCCTTAAGCTATTTCTTTATACTTCCATTCATTCATTCAATTCTTTCATTCATTCATTCATAAATTACTTTAATGGGCACCATATTGGCTTAACCCAAAGATGAATCGAAAGCATTATAGCTCTTCTCCATAATAATTGCATGACACTAGGCTACTGACCCTAATTCTTGAGCCTCAGTTACCATCTGTGAAATAAGATAGTATGTCATAGAGTTGTAGTGAGTCTTCAAATACAGTAATACATGCAAAGCACACATGCCTGGACATGGTAAGTAATTTAAAAATGGCAGTTATTTATCATTTATCTTACTATCTTACTATTCCCAGTCTCAGTCATCAGGGAGTTTACAGCCTGGGAGAAGAGATAAATAAGATAATGTAATTTTGTTCCATTGTTCATAGTGCCATGAACGCTATGGAGGTAAACAGAGAAAGGCACTCAGTGCAGCCTATGGGATCCACAAACATTCCTTCAACATGTACGTTCTCACTCAGACCCATTCTTTGATAACCCTCTCTATGGATATATTGATACAAACCCGATACGATCTTCTACTAAATCATGGGTTCCTAATTCTTATCTCTATCCAGATAAATTATGAGAAGATTTAATCTTGGCATCAAGTTTAACTGCCTCACTGTAGCTCATTTAAGTCACTTTATTGCAGGAAATTTACTGTAGTTACGTCATTAAAGAATTCCTGGAACCTCTGAAGGAACCCCCTCTTTTAACTGTCCAAACAAGATGACTGGGGGGAGGAGGGGAAGTCCAGCACCTATCTGCCAACTGCTTTGAGTTGCCAAAAGGAAACCTCCGGTTGTAAATATTTTTAAAATACGTTTCAGTCACGCTCTCTAGTGTGTCATCTTCATGTTTCTGAGACATTTTTTTCCCACAATGCATTCAGTTTGACCCCAAAAGCACACATCTTTGACTAGAGGAGGTTCAAAATCCTTTCCATACCTCTGATTTTGATGTAGCAGATTAAATGCCATTTTATTTTTTTTACGATTTTATTTTTAAAGATTTAATGCCATTTTAAAAAACAATTCAGATGCAGCCATCAAAAAAAAAAATGAAATCTTGCCATTTGCAATGACGTGGATGGAACTAGAGGGTATTATGCTAAGCGAAATAAGTCAATCAGAGAAAGACAATTATCATATGATCTCATTCATATGTGGAATTTGAGAAACAAGGCAGAGGATCATAGGGGAATGGAGGGAAAAATGAAACAAGACGAAACCAGAGAGGGAGACAAACCATAAGAGACTCTTAATCTCAGAAAACAAACTGAGGGTTGCTGGAGTGGAGGGAGGTGGGAGGGATGGGGCGGCTGGGTGACGGACATTGGGGAGGGTATGTGCTATGGTGAGCGCTGTGAATTGTGTAAGACTGATGAATCACAGACCTGTGATTATATGTTAATATAATCAAATAATACATTATATGTTAATAAAAAAATTCAGGATATATGATATGGTAGATTAGAGAGCAGTACTTTTATTATCCCAAGTTTTATTAATATACACATAGATATGGACAAAAAGCCAAAAAATATGTATGAAAATATTAACCCAGTGATGAGTTCTGTGTGATAGAATTACGGTTTTTCTTTTTGTTATATGTAGTTTCTAATTTTCCTTTTAGTTCCACACATACTGCTAGAAATACAGAAATAGAATACAAGGTAATGGAAAACAGAAAATAGGACAGAGAAAAGAAAGGCAAGGGGGAAAAAACCCCCCAAAATTGTTTTCAAGAGTGCCTAAAGTTTTTAGAGCAGGTTTTACATGACAAAGAGACATCATTTTACAGACATGTTTACAATTATGCTACAAAGACAAATATGTGCTGAGGGACTTGTCTGAGGAAACATGGTTCTGTTCTGTTGATTAAGGAGAATGGGTGGTGACTTTCCGGAGTCTTGAGTTTGAGATAGGTTTCCTTCCCGTATTTTGTTGAGTTTCCAACAATTAAACACACACCCACACTCATTTTTAGCCCACACGCTCAGGTCTTAGGAATAAATTTGTACTTGGTCACATTGCTTCATATATTTAACTACATACACAGGCACACACACACACACACACACACACACGGAGCCCTTTTCATCAAGAAGATTTGACTTCTGTCCTCATTGCTCTATGGAAAACCTCTGCAGAAATTATATTCAAAAACGAAACCAATGGTTTTCCTAAATGCAGTGACACCATTCTCTCGCCTCACTCAGACCATGGAGGATGTGTGGAGATGGTCTAAGTCATCCAACTGTTGAGTACTTACTGTGTGTCCAGTTTATTATTAATTATATTCATTTATAATTTATTATTATACCATTGTTCCTGAGCTATATCAGTGAGCAAAACAAAGATCCCTGTTCTTTCAGGTCTCACAATTTGCAGTGGGAGTCAGGCACACAAGAAATATCATAAAGTGAATTAAATGCTACATTGGGAGGTAATGAGTGCTATGGAAATAAAGTAGAGTAGATCAGGAGTGTTGGTGTGCAATTACAAAACACCTGAATAGTCAGAGTTCTACTCATTTAGAGAGTGACATTTGACCAAAGACTGAAAAGAAGAAATTAGAATTCCTTAGAATTTGAGTACAAATTTCGTAGAATTCGAAATTGGAATTCACCACGTGTTTCTTTGGGACTACTCCAAGCAAGGCCACAGTCAGTGCCTCGATCTGAAGGTGCCAACACCATGACCTCTGGAACTGGGAGAAACAGTAAGTCAGTTGGAATCATGGGGTCAACATCTGGAGGATAAAGAACCAGATGAACTGAGAAGCTAACTACCATGGACTCTCCTCTCTCTTTTCAGTTAAAATGCAACACTCACAACCAGTATAATCTTGTACGTAGCCCTTAGGGTTATTATACCATAAGGTAGTAGGAGGTTATTATACCATAAGGCCTTTTGGAGTTAGACCTCCGCCATACACTGTGTGTGCGATGTTGGGCAAATTACTTAACTGTTTTTGAACATTATACTCACATTTTTTTTTTTTAAGATTTTATTTATTTTGAGAGAGAGAGAGAGAGCACGAGCAGGGTGAGGAGTAGGGGGAGAAGCAGGCTCTCTCCACTGAGCAAGGAGCCCGATGCGGGGCTCGATCCCAGGACCCTGGGATCATGACCTGAGCTGAGGGCAGATGCTTAACCAACTGAGTCACCCAAGCGTCCCTATACTCACATTTGTAAAAAGAAACAATATAACAGTACTCATCTCATGAAGCTAGTGTGAAGTTTAAGTGAGGTAATATATCAATACACTTGGGTGTGTGTGGTACTTTGTACATGGTGCGTGCTCCATCAGTGGTTATTACTGCTTTCACCCCTGAGAAACTTCTTTTACTTGTAGTTGTATGCCGTGACATGATAGAAATCCCCACTTTCTACACCCCAAATTTACCTAAGAATCACTCAAATTTGAACTAAAACCGCTACCTTTGAGAGAGCAAAGAATAGGATACAGACATAAATCATATTTTCTCAAAACAAGGCATACAAAAGCATAAAAATGCACCAAGTTTTTTTCATTAAGATGATCATTTCATTCCCAAAAATATGTTTCCTTTGGGTCAGGGAAAAGATGATTCTTTTGTTTAGAAAAAACGTATTAGCAATAACTATTTTCATGTAGCAAAATAGTCACTTTTAGGGATCACATCAATAGAAATCACTGTGAATTTTAGTTTTTCTAGGATTCTGTACTGCTAATTATCTTTTGATGTTATTCTCTGTGCTGAAGTTAAAAATCATCAAAATCTTATATAAGCAAAAATAGAATTGGTACAACCAACACAGCTCTGAAGAATTACCAAGAAATTACTTCTGTGAAGAAAAGCATGCTATTAACCTGATTTATAGCTCACAGGGTTGGACATTCTGCATAAAGGCTGCTCATATAACTTATAAGCTTAGCAAAGCTGCTATCACTTCAGTCTCATTCTGTTCTTGGCACCACTGTGGGAAGTGATACAAAACAGCAGTACTGCAAAGAAGGAATTAATTCATGATTTGTTGACATCCGAGAGACAAGAGACAAAAAAGTGAAATGAATTAGGTGGAACACACCCACACATATACACAAATCACAAGATATTTTACACTTTAACTAAAATCAAGTCATTGCATGAAATACGCTACAACTAAAATGTGGAAGAAGATAGAAATTTATTTTTGCTTTAAGGAGAGCCAAGTTGGAACGACTGGGGCACATATAAAATAGAATCAAAATATAAATCTTTGTCTTTAAAGATTTATTTATTTTATTTGTGTGTGTGTGTGAGAGAGAGAGAGCACATGTGCACGTGAGTGGGGGGAGGGGCAGAGGGAGAGAAGCAGACTCCTGTTGAGCGCAGAGCCCCCACCCCCCCATGTGGGGCTCTATCTCAGGAACCTGAAATTCTGACCTGAGCCGAAACCAAGAGTTGGATGCTCAACTGATTGAGCTACCCAGGTGCCCCTATAATTCTTACTTTAAAAGAGGAGAGGGGAAACAAGAGAATAAAAATAGAAAATACTTATTCAGGAATAAGACTAACATTTGACTGCAATAAATTATAGAAGGATTTTTTATATTAAAAATAAAATACACATTAAAAAGTAATGTAAATAGTACACAATTTTAATTTGGAGTGATGGAAATTTTTGGAACTAGACAGAGGTGGTAGTTACACAGCATTGTGAATGTACTAAATGCCACTGACCTGTTCACTTGAATGTGCTGGTTTAATGTTATATGAATTTCACCTCCATACATTTTTTTTTTTAAAGTAATGTAAGACTGTAGAATTTAACTTTGGCATCCTAATTGAGGTATCATGCCATAGGGCCTGCGTGGCGGGGGGCGGGGGGAAGCAGGGATGTATATTCATGGTACCCACTGGGCCCAACAGTGAGAACCTTCAGGAAAGTACAAAGTAGGGCAATTCACTTCTTTTGTCCTTACAGAGTCCTGGCCCATCTTTTCCTCTCACTGCGTGATCCCTCTTTTAGGCTTTCTAGTCTCCTTTTCAACACCTTGTCCAGCCCTGTTTATCTCCCACTTCAAGTGCTCCATAGCCCTACATCACTCCCAATCATAAATTTGCTCTTCCCACGTCTCTCCACTTAAAACTAATTCATGATAAAGTTTGAGTCTTTTATTAGCTTAATCATGTAATATTTTAGGACTTCATTAACTGAAATAGTTATTTAAGTGATTTGTTATCAAGTGATGTGTACTTGTGAATGGCATGCCAATTCTTACTGTAGCAGATTTTTGCTGAAGAAGCACATATAACGCTGTGTGCCGGGCACTATTAGAAGTACTAGCTAAATACTAATCTACTTAGTTCCGTCCCATCCAGTTCTCTTCTTTAATCTTTGTCTCTTTCCTTCAAACCTGTCTCTCCCAATGCCAAGAACCTAAGACATGCCTGAAGACGAGAGTTCAGACACATTTGAAACTTGTTTCTTAAATGTTTGCAATCTCTGGCCCAAACTAGCATCATACTTAGGACATAGTAATTCTTCTGGTTGCCTAGTATTATTGTGTTCTAGGTAAAAGAGCCTTCAGAATAGTAGTAGGTGGTCAATATTTGAAGTAAACTTATAGAAGCCCTTATAAAGTTTTCCTTGGGTATTAGAGTCTTTAAAATTTTTTTTAAAATTGTGGTTAAATACATAGATCTTAACATTTACCATCTTAACACTTTTTAACTTTTTGCCATCTTAATGATTTTTAATAATTCAGTAGTGTTACATATATCCACATTGTTAAGCAACCAATCTCTAGAACCTTTTCATCTTGCAAAAGTGAAAGTTTATATCCATTAAACACCAACTCCCTACTGTAAATATATTTAAGAAGCTAAAATACATAATAAAATGGCACCCCAAAATAGGCTATATTAATGTCATCTTAAAAACATTAAGTAGAGTGGGGTTTGCGGTGTTAATTTCCATTTGCCATATCCAGCTGGCTGGAAACTTTGCAAAACCTCTGTCTACCAGTTTCACAAATTAGATCTGCTTTGTTGCAGATAATTTATGCAATTAGAGGCCTTCTTTGTACATCAGGTCTTTCATTTCCACTGAGGAGGTGGAGAAAGAGTTCTCAAGTGGAAACAGCACAGAGCAACATTTTGGAAGGAAGAGTTGGTGTGAGGTAAGGCAGAGGGTCCCAACAAATAGATAACATCACCCACGTCATACTTGTGAGTCATTTGAACAACATAGTCTGTGAAAAGCATAAGTTACTCTACCTTGATACTCTATTGCTGTGACCACTTGATGGTCTTTTGGGGCAGAGAATCCATAGGCCTTATGATCTGAAAGATTAAAACAGATAGGATAATTAAAATAGTACCAAAGGCCACTTGCAAATATTTGAATGGAATGCAACATTGAGGAAAACTGGCCTAAAGTTTGGTGACAGTTTCACACATTCATAACCCATAGGTTTTAAAGTATCAAAATAAGAAAAACCAAGCCAAACCCTCTATGTCTCTTCCATTTTCTGTATTGTGGTTTTCTGCCCTCCCTTCACAAAGCAAAACCCACGGATCTGTAAGGGCCCCATGACAAACAACACAATTTCACAAGCTTGATTGTGAAAGGTTTTTTTGTTTTATTTTAAGATTTATTTATTTATTTTAGAGAACGTGGGAGCAGAGGGAGGGACAGAGGGAGAGGCAGAGAAGCAGACTGCCCACTGACTGCAGAGCCTGACTCTGGGCTAGATACCAGGACCCCAAGATCATGACCTGAGCCCAAACCAAGAGTCCAAAAACACTCAACGGACTGAGCCACCCAGGCGCCCCAAGCCTGATTGTTAAACAAGTGCCTTTGTCCTTAATTTAGCCTAATATGCAATCTAGTGCCTAAGGTATTGCCCCTTTAAGATAAAAGCTAATTATTTAAGGGTTTAAGTTGCTTTACAAACTTATCCCTGATTATACCTACATTGTATAGAAATGGGTCATTTAACATATTTTTGACTAGGAAATATATATATAATATATACTGTATATAAACCTTGTATCACAAATATGACGAAAAATGCAAGCAGAACATCTTTATTTTTCTCCCAAAAATTTCAGTGATTTTCCAGGATTGGTCTATAGGATTGAAATGACTGACCAATTACGGTGGCTGGTGTGATCTGATAATAATCGACAATGACAACGATGAGATCATCATCACTTTCATAAACTTATATAGAAAATTTCATTTTTGGGGCGCCTGGGTGGCTCAGTCGTTAAGCGTCTGCCTTCGGCTCAGGTC